TATATATTACAATAATAAGAAAATAAAAATACAGGATAATATGTCAAATGAATCTTAACTTATTAAAGAGACACTAAAAATTACGTAGTTTATTTTTAAATAGTTAGGTTCGGTATTCTTAAGCTTATATTTATGCCTGTGGCACATACCGTGTTTAATTACACTCATTTATATATATAAAGGTCTTCTACACCAACATATATATATGTATAATTGCAATCCTTGATATTTATTACTCAATAAGTAGTATGGCTAGATGAACAGACTAGAATTTATTACACTTACAACTCTAAATAGATAGGAGTTTCTCAAAAATGTAATTATAAATATGAAAGCGTCATTATTAATCCGCATAGCAATATAAAAAGAAATCTATTTTTATATCAGCAAAAAAATCACGTAAAAATCAAATATAAAGTCAAAAATTCGCCAATTCTAAAATGCTCTTTCTTTAAATGTTTACTTTAACATTATGGATAGAAATTTTTTACTATAATTCATTTGATACCTATAAATATAATTTATTTTATATTTTAACAATGTTTACCAATAACTATACAAACTTTTTTTTAAATAAATATAAACTACAACAAAATTTTGTAGAAAAAACAACTACACATTCTAAATCATTGTCAACAATCAAATATAAATAATATACATAAATAATATCAACTATCTGTAAATACATTGTTTGTAAAGCTTCACAATGTCATGTTAAAAAAAGAAAGAAAATATTTATAACAACATTCGACAGATCCTTATTTTAACAGTATGACTGTTGTAATTATTGTACTGTTACTATCTAGAATGTGTACTGGTTCACAGTACATTATTAAAATACGAAATATTTTGTAGTTTTGCAATTTTTTCTTAGATAATATTTAGGGCTATTATTCCTACATTTTATCTTTTGATCTTTCTGTGCTCTTGAATTAAACAGTTATTCAAGCAACTTAATAATATCATGTTAATTAAACTGCACAGAATATGAGTCTTACTAATTGTTTTCTAATTTAAATGATCCGCATTAATAAAACTATTTCCATCTAAATTTCCTTTGCAATTTGCCATTCAATTATTCATATTAATACAGATATGCCTCTTTCCCATTTCCGGACTGGATAAATTGCTGTAAGTACCAATTACTGAAAAATTGTTTTTTCTGGTAGAATGAAGGAAGTGTTATAATTTCTAAGATTGAAATCTAGACGACTCCTCTGGGTCCAATAAATCGTCACAGGAAGCTGTTGGGGGTAATAACTGTCTACCCCCTCGTTTTTTACTGCGTGTAAATACTTTAGTAAGTTGTGCAAACTTACGTCGAGATACTAGAATATAATTAAAATAATAAAAGTAAAATATAAATTCTATAATTTTTACATTCGTTATATTATAATAATATACAATTGCCAAAAATACCTTTGCCCATATTTTTTAGTCTTTCTTTAAAAAGATCTTCATCATCATGACCAATTTGATTGCCACACTTTTCAAGGCTTGTTCCTTGAATTTTTGTATCTATGATAAAGATAATGTAAATAATTGGAATTTTATGTCTTTTCCATATTGTTTGCACTACAAAAATTACAACTGCATATTACAAACCATTTTCTAAAGTTGACAGAAAGTCTTCATTCCAACGTAGTTCAGCCATAAATTCTTCATTTTGAAGAAATATAGCAATTCTTTCATCTTCTAACATCGAATTTTCTTGTAAACAGGAAGAATCTAAACTATCTTCACAAACTTGTTGAGGAAGCCGAAGGAATGTATCTGGTAATGGACCTAATAAAGCAGGTTGCCATTTACGTATACTTTTTAAGGATATTGTTGACTCTGCTTTCTGTGACTTAGAAGTACTTGGTGATTTTTCATTTTGCTCTAATTCACTTCTAATTTTTTCATTTTCATTATCTGTACTCATAGTAAGCAACTGATCGATTGTCGTATCTACGGCACCTTGGTTAGATCTTAACACAGCCTAAAAGTTTTGAAATAATTTCTTCATTTATTATGCATCATTATGCATCATTTCAGAACATACATTTTTAGTTTCCAGTTACATAATGTAATTTAATACATTTATTAAATGAATTTACCTCAATCACATCATCATCCATTTGTGGAAACATGTTTTTGAAATCAGCCATTGCTTGATAAAATTCTAAAGTTGTTTGTTGTTGTTGTTGCTGCTGTTGCTGTTCCATAGCAGAGGCCATTATGTGGTGATTGTAGAATTGTTAATCTAAGTGAAACAATTAGCTTAATTAGTTACAGTTAGGAAGCTTTCAACAAAGATTTCGTAATATGACGTTATTTAATTTTACTTTGAAGATTCGATAAATCTAAAACGTTCCGAAAACATGAATAGACAAATCGTCATTCATAACGAGGGATATCGGTTTCTGATTATTACGTGAATGTCATGTTATTTGTTTGGGGAAATTAATTGCATCTTATTTTGCCTTTGTGTTATAATTAGTTATGCACCGTTGAGTTATACGAAATATCCATGCACATAATTGAAAACCGAGACAAGACTGTACCCTGTCATTACGCATGCAAGGAAGGTGACCAACTGTCAAAAATTTGGTGAGTGAGACCTTTCTTATGAAAAGTAAACCTATTCCAGAATTGCGAAACCACAGAACGGTATCACGATTTATCTAGTGAATCGAACTTGATTTTTATTGGTGTATTCTGGACAATTTATGTAATATTTTTCATTTTATTCCAACACGAAATATTTAATATTAACTATTTTTAAAATAGCATGCAATAAATATAAATAATTGCAGAAACAAACGAATGAAATATTATTTATATAGAAGTAAGGGATAGTAACTTTTTGCATTTTTAGGTTAAGTTGATTGAATTTTTGAACGAATGGTCCGATCAGGGTCATATAAATTATAAATAGATCTGAACCGTGATTCACATATATATTCATATAATAAAACCGAATGCATATTCATACATGTGGGTATGTTACAACTCTAAAGTTTAATATTTCAAAATAAAAAGGTAGGTAATGTTTTCACAAGTCCTCTTCCATATGTTGTTAATTAAATAAAAATTATTATATTAAGAGCAAAAATCATTTCGAACACACATATCTTTTAGTTTCAGAAAATAAATATTTATGACAAAATAATTGTTTTTGTGTTATTTTATCTTATTTATGAAGCATCATAATATAAAATTATGTGTGAAAAATTAATAAAATATTGATATAAATAAATATAAAATTTTATTAATTCATGTTTGAGACATGGACAATAAAATGAATTGTAACTCGTTTAACGTGGATAGTTTAATTAAACATTTCCTAAATTGTACACCAATAAATACAATAGACATTCTTGTATGTAAATTTTACAATCAATCTATAAATAATCTTTCAAAGATTTATAGAAATTCTATTTCTATTTTTCTAATTCTAATTCTATTTCACATTTCTATTTTAAAATTTGCAGAATTCAGAAGAAAATATTAATTGTTTAGTTAATTCAAAAAAGCAACAGGAGATCTTGGAAAGAACAGTAAATAGTGACTTAATTAAAAAATATCCAATTAAACGATCTTATCAGAGAGCATTTTTAAAATGGCTTATGAAAAAGGTATAAATAAATTAATATTTATAAAATAAATTCATTTCTAGAGTTAAAGATTTAATTTTTGTAATCTAGATTGAAGACGAAGGTGGTGAAATTTATGACGGTATTTATACAACATATTGTAATTTAATATCTTCCACTATAGAAGAATCTACTCACTATCGGCATTTTTTAATAGAAGATAATTGCATTAGTATAAAAGAAAGCACGAGTATTATATCAGAAGGTACAACAGGATTGTGTAGTTGGCAGGTATTTGGAAACTATGATTGTACAATATGATTTTTCGAATTTCCAGTTATAATATCATTCATAATTTGCAGGGAGCCATTGAGTTAAGTAAATGGTGCTTAGAAAATAAAGAAAAATTCTTTGGAAAAGTTATTTTAGAACTTGGTTGTGGTGTTGGCTTAACAGGATTATCCATTATTAAGACTTGTTTTCCTAAACAATATATATTTACAGATTGTCATAAAATTGTTCTTGAAATGGCTTTTGAAAACATTCAACTTAATTTAGTATGTAATGAAAGGAAAATAGAATCAGCACTAAAATATGATAGATTTAAATCGCAATTAAGGTGTAATTATACAGATGTTAAAATAGAAGAGCTAAGATGGAAAGATATTAATAAATATGTGAATGAACAATGGGTCTTACCAGATATAATAATTGGAGCTGATATTTTGTATGATACCGATTCATTTTTTGGATTAGTAAGGGGATTAAAAGGATTTTTATCTTATCCTAATAGATGTGCAATTATTGCATTAACAATTCGCAATGAAGACACTGTTTTACGGTTTCTACATCAATTAGGTATATTTTTTACTCTTAGATATTATATTTTCTACCAAATACATATTAAAAATTAATATTCTTTTTTTAGCACGTTATGGTCTCATTTTTAAAAAATATGAACCACGGCAAACGGTACACCAAAAGTCAGCAAGTGAACCTGTTAAAATATTAAAGATTTTTCGTCGATAAACTTAAGATAATAAATTTTTATTGATATAATGTTTTTAACAATAATTATTTTAAAATGATCTTACTGGATTTCAAAGGCAATTTGTTGAATACCTATTATATAGTAAATTTTACTTAATACTTGTTTTATATATTTACATTTGCAAATAAAGAATATTTACTATAAATGTATTTAAATATACTTCACCAACAGGGAAAAATGTATACAGTAATTATTTATATTTCAATGGAAATTATATAATAAAAATTATTTATTTGTAAACTTACTAATATCAAGCAGATAACTTTATTTATTTCTTCTACTTACCAGAGAGATTTTTTCTCAGTGTCACTCAGATTCACAAAAAAATTGTACAAATCCTATTTTATTGAATGGAATGATATATTTAATTTACAACATTTAAAATACTCATAAAAAGATTGCGAGAATTGTCATGTATCGACTTCAACACAATTTTAAATGTAAATTAAAACCTGAAAAATATATAACGTAAAGATTTATATAAATATGACCATTGCCAATATGGCCAATAACCATTGCTTTACATTTGAATGAAAAATAATGAGGGACTTATATGAAATGAAAGTTGTTTATGTTTGTATCAATAGTATGTGCTTCTTTTTTTAATAGCTCCTTTTTGGTCACCGATTTACTACCATATGTTATTGCGACTATCTCTCAAAAACCTCACGCCATAATAAATATTATTATGGATATAGTTTTCTAGTGCAACATCCTTATCGAATCATTAAGAGCAAAAGCAATATATATTCTTATTAATTTTTAATCTTTTTCTTTACTCATATTAAATTGTATTAATAAATTATAGTTTTATTTATATTATTTATATTATCATATTTGTTATATATTATTATACGTATTATATGTATAATCAATCTTTATCATTAATAATATACATTTTATAATAATATGTAACAATATACATATATATAATAATATGCTAGTAAATTGAAGTAAACGATATTGTGTTCCTTAAATAAAGCGATAAATAAAACAGCTGTTGCAAAAGATTAACATTATATTTTCTTCTGTTGCATTATTTCATAAATATTTAGGTTTAGTAAAAAGCTAATTTTTAGTAATTAATTGTCAATTACTTTGGTCGAGTCTTGCTGGTTTCAAATGTAACCTTTGAATTACATATTCAGGCATGCAATATGTCGGATTGATCTTTTTCAGAGGATAATCAGTATTTAAAAGGGAGAGTGCAGTTAAGCCAAAAAGAGTATGAAAAGGATCAGCAATATCTCCTGGACGATCACTAAATCCTCCTGATTCCGTATCTTGACATGCCAGTACAAATTTTACCTGTAAATTAATGTTGTAATAAAATTTGATTAACTTCGTCCATTTTTAATATAATATTAGTATTTTTTGCATTCCTTAATTTTTTTGAAGAAATACATACCAATTGTTCTTTATCAACCCAATGAAGGCGTCCTAAAATTGTTAGTGCAGAAAGGACCCACCAAGAATAACAAACATCAGGTAACTTTTCTGGTCTACCATTTAAACCCCCAGATGGAAGTTGTCTTTCACAAAGCCACCAACTTAATTGATCTGCATCTACTAAGTGAAGATTACCTGGCAATATTTAACACTTTATGTTATTTAATTTGTAAAAAGAATTGTATATATTTTTTCTCTTTCTTTTTATTTTATTATATTGATTTTGTTATATACTAGCTGAAGAATAATTAAAAATAAAATAAAAATTACCAGTTATTGATAAAAGCCCTATGGAGCAATAAATCATACCAGCATGACTTTCAGCTCCAGGTTTTGATCCAAATCCACCATCAAAATTCATACATTTCATCACAAATTCAACTGCCTTATCAACATCTATTGCATCCAGTCGATTCTAAAATAATATTATTATAGTCTAAGTTAATTCATAAGCTTACTATTTTTGTAACTTTAAGTATTATATTATTCTATTATCATAAAAAAATATACAAAAACAGAAATATAGATATAATTTAATACATTTTTGCACAGATTTAATATCTGTCAACATCTGTCTAATATCTATCAATAGATTAAATCTCTTATTACTATGTTTATTTACCAAAAGTGATAAAGTTGCCACAGCACAAAAAGAAAATCTTGTATCAACTTCACCCCAGATATCACCTGTGAAACTTCCATCTGGTTGTTGTCTTTCCTTTACATATTTTACAACTCTTTCTATGTCAATAGTATCTAATGCATTATAGATACAAAGTATTTGTACTGCACTCAAAGTGTAAAGAATATGTGGATCATGTTGTAAACTTGCAGCTATGCCACCACTGTCTGTTTGACATTGAGCAATAAATTCTAGTACCTCATTTCGATTTGTCTCTTCGAGTTTACCCATAAGATCCAGTGCTGTTAAACCCCAGTACATTCCAGACATTCTCATATGTTCTGTCATACAATACATCTAAAATTTATTATTTCCATTAATTGTACATTAAACCTAATTTAATTATATATATGCAAGTAATCCTTATACTACTTATAATATAAAAAATATAATACATAAAATTTAAAATAATATTATAATATACTTACATATTCATCTTTATCAGTGCCGTAAGAAAGTAAAAAGTTTGCATGCTTTTCCAATAGTAATTCAGGAACTGAAGCTGGAAGTTCGATGTCATGTTTTAGCACTGGCTAAAGCATAAATTAAAAAACATTGTTAGAGCATGTATGATGAAAATAGTAATAAATTTATATTTGTATAAATAATATCCTATTTTATTCTAAGTTTTTTTGTAAAAACTTATTCTAGGAACTGTATAAACCATATTCTATTTAATAAAAAAATCTATAAAATAAAATCATTGTAATAATATAATACGCAAAAAAAAGGATAAATTAACCTAAGACAGAATTAATGTTTTAACCCAGAATAAATAATTTGTATTAAACTCTTCGTCCACTCACCATGTTACAAAGTTATTTTTTAAGAAGTATGTAAATTACTATGTTTTATTAATTTTCATTCATTTAAGTCAATTTATAAAAACTTTTTACACTTCTTACACCTCTAATAAAAATATACCTCATCCTTCGTTGAAGAATAACTTCATTTTCGGCCTAACCTCAAAATAGAAATTCTTAGTGATAACAAAAAGGCGCGGATTTTCAAAAAAAATTTTAAAAGAGAAAGGAATAAAAGATTATAATAAGTTTACGTAAAGTAATAACATTGAAGTTGTAGTTATTTCCATTTTCCTTTTAAAAAGGTTTGTTTATTTTTAAGTAAATACTTATTGTTTATTTTTAAGTAAATACTTATTGTTTATTTTTAACTTAAAATCAGAAGTATGAAATAATTTCTCATTTAGAATAGATAATATATATTTAATAATTTGAATAGTTTTTGTAGAAAAACGACATTTATTTAACAATTTCAATATTTCAATTGTTTTCTCTTTTTCGCCATATTCATTACATTCAGGAACTCCAATGTTCACTAAAACAAACAAGAACTGAATTTAGTAATGTCATTGTGTGGTAAACTGACCTATACTAATTTTTCAAATAGTGATTCTGATATAATATTGTAATAAAATAATTTAGTGAAGCATTTAAATTAATTCATGTAAACGGCAAAATATTTAATCGTAATTTAAAACCAATAATTTTTTATAATTTCGTTTTTTATTTTACCTCAAATTAATATTCAGCTGGATACAGATTCTTCATCATCATCAACATTATCATAATTAGAATTCGTACTTGTGACATCCTCATCATTCTCCTGTTCTTGATCACCTTGATCTTCTTGTTCATCTTCATTGTCCTCTTGATTTGACATTTCTTCCCATTTTTCATCTGATTCGCTTTCCAAATCTTCATCTTCAACTCCACCATCTTCATCTGATGAATCTATTTATATTTATTTATGTTTATTAATTTCAGCTTTAAATAAATACTATAAATGGTAAAAATAGTATAATATATCAAATAAGACGGGAAATTATGTATTATTAATTTTTATACAAAGAAAGATTTTGTCCAAAACTTATTTTAATTTATAAATTGTATTTTGAAAAATAGTTTTAAAACATCGATTGCAACAAAATAATATTTTTATAGATACAAACCTGTATCTTGGTAGACAAGGCAGTTTTCGCTAATGTCTTTGTCGTGCTCTTCCATTGTTTGAGAAATTTGACCAGTGATAAGAGATACTCGACCCTTAAGTTTCGAGAGCTCTGTTAAAAGAGTTAGTTTAGCATCCATTAAACTTAAAATTGGCCCAAATAATTCTACAAGGTCTGCTTGTGATAATAAATGTCCCGCATGAGTTGTTAATAATGCTTCCAACCATCGTACAGCAATTTTACTCCTATAATATAATCAATTAATAAAAATTAAGCACGATTTTTAGGCTTCTATAGTTAATGATTTTAAATATACTACAAAAATTAGTTAACGTTTGATAATCTTACGTGTATGTTTTACCCTGAAGTAGGATGGTAAGTTCTTTAAGAAGAGGACCAATTGCTTGAATTGGTAACTTGGCAATAGTATTCCTAATAATAGTCTCATTTTTCGTGAGAAAAATGTTGTTCAAAATAGCTTTATCTTTACTATTTAAGCCTTGCACCAAAAGTTGTGCTCTACTATTACCCGTGCTTGTGATTTTGCCTGTAGGATTGCTTTCAGCACTTAAGCTCAAGTTTTCCAATCTATCTTTTAATAATAATTGTGACCCATCACTGCTTCTAATCTTTTTTTGTGTAGTTTCAATTATTCCTACAACAGATAAATCAAAATTAAATTACAAATTTGTTGAAAATACAAAATAATTGATTTACTGTTGTGCATAAATGTTGCTCTGTTTAAATATCAAAGATAAATACCAGGTGTAAGATATTCAACATTATCCTCAATTATAGTGGACTTCACTTTAGAAATTTCTTCTTTTCTGTCTTTGCTTTTTTTATATTCTGAACGTATTAGATACTGTACTTTATCAGAAAAATCTGGTGTCACTTTTTCAAATATAGGATTAAGGTATGTTCCATATGCTAATAATAATTTTTCATCTTCTGTCAATATTCCATTTAAGATAGAAATTTGTTGAACACTATCTTTTTGGCTTATATCAGAAGCGACTGCAATATTTAAACTTGGCTTCAA